TATTATATTTTTGCTCACCTGTCTTGTGTAATTTCCTGTTTCATTAAAGGTTGAAAGACAGGCTTGCTCGCTTGAATTTTTTGATGTCTACATTGTCATAATCACTTCACAGTAATTCTTCAATCAACTTTGGAAATCGATCATCTCTTCATATATTGCTTTTGCCTGCCCACCCCCCCTCTCCCCCACTCCTTTCTGGTACGTCCTTCCCTGTGTGTTAGAACTTTTCAATATTTCCTCGTGTTTTTCCTATGCTCTTTTCTGTGTTTTCCATTGCTTTATCTCTTCATGCTTCAGTCTGGATATTTTATCCTGATGTATCTTCCAAATATGAATAATTTCTTCAGCCAAGTCTCATCTGTTTGTAAATCCATCTTTAAGATTTCTTAATTACATTTTTTCGTTGTTTAATTTCCCTTTGATTCTTTTGGTAGTTTCTAGTCACATGCTAAAATTGTTCAATGTCTTTTCATTTCTTAAAAATATTGATTATAGTAAAAATTTGTTTCTTGGTGTCGGACTACTAAAAGTTAACATTGCTGATTGTAAATATTTTATCACATAAATTTGGTATTTTAGAAACATTTTACAAAATGATGAGGCTTACTAGGGTGAACCCATTGGTTCTGTAGGCAAGGGCTCGAAGTATGATGTTACTGTCTTTAGATCATCGGATTAATAGGATGCTCAACGTTCTTTTGATACTGGCTAAATCATAGGCCAGCGACACTGGAAGAAAGGACCAGACTAGATAAATTTGAGGTGCCTGTGAAACGTCCATGTGACGATGGTCTGAGAAGGAGAAATAAACGTGTGAGTCGCGTATATAGATCAGCAAATGATTTCGTAAAAGGCAGCACCACTGGAATGAGAGTGGATGGACAGATGGTCAGGGCGGCGGTTGATGCCTGTGGCCGCCCCTCCTCCCCCCACCCCGAGAAAGGACGGCCACTTAGAGCAAGCTGCAGCCCTGCGAAGCTTGACGCCCGATCCCCGGAAACAAGCGGCGTCCGTCAGGGGCCGCACGCTGATTCTTACTTTGGAGAGGTCTCTCTCGACAGGGCGTAATTTGCTCTATATTGTCGTAGAGCTCTGTTTAGGATTATGATACGTTTTTTAAAACACTCTTCATTCTGGTTTTTAAGGGACAAAATGAGCCTCTGATCCTGAAACCTTTCTTTTCCTTAGCATGCACTACCCCTTCCCTTTTTTGTGTGTGTGTGTGTTTTGTTTTTTGTTTTTTCGTTTTCTTGGGGTTTTCTTTGCAGGGATGATGTTCACCTCTTGAGAAGTCGCGTCATAGAGGTCGGTTCATCTGAGAGATTTTTCAGGTTGTGCTCTTGGAAGAGAGACAGGGGTGATGACAGGACTTCCGAGGCGCAGAGCCCTCCGTGCTGACGGGCAGACTTGGTCACGCAGGGCCACTCCTCCGGTCAGCTCGAGAACGAGTCGCCTCGTGCCCTCTTACAGCAGAGCTCGAGCTCATCTCCCTTCCCTGCCGCGTCTTTCCCCCTAGAATTGGCCGATGGAACTTCGTGGCATGTGAAGAAGCTCGGGTGCTGGAGTCTCCCGGTTGCGTTTTTCTTTCTTTCTGGGGAGCCCCCTGGAGATTCTCTGCATGAGCAAATGGAGCAACGGGACACGGATCCAAAACGCCCGCGTCGGCTCTTTCTGAGTCAACGAGATTTCATTTTCCCAGGACAACATTAGTTTTGGAAAACGCACAGTGTCCCATCGCGTGCGGGTCAGCGTGCGGGTCAGCTTGCGGTGCCGGCGGTGGCCGCCCCAGCCCGCGAGTGCTGCCTGGCGACGTGTCCTTGTAGTCACTCACGGAGGCTTGTAAGTGACCGACCTGCCCCTCAAATGTACGCGAGTCAGAGAGATCTGCGTTGTTACCTGTGCCGCCACCGTTCAGCTGCTTCCCGTGGAGAGGGGAAGGGGAAGGGGAAGGAGCGTCCGCTCACCGCCCCCAACCAGGCCACCCCGGCCTCCCGGGGCCCCCCAGCTCAGAGCCACAACCCCGGGGCTGGCCCTGCGTTTTCCTGTCCCCGAAGTTTTGTTGTCAGGCTCAGAGCGTGCCACCGAGGTGTTCGTGCGTGACAATATCATCTCCCTCCCGCCTCCAAACAAAGGAAACACAAACAAATCACAGCATAGCGGTGGCTTGGAAAATGCTGTCAGCGTCTCCCTGGGGAAATGCACCCTCGGCTTCGCGTGGCTTTCCCCGGCAAGGCCCCCCGAGAGGCGCAGGGTGGAGGGTGCATAGGGGGGCTCCCTGCTCCCACGGTGGTGGGGAGCCTTGCAGCGTGCTCCCCTGCCCTCCCTCCCAGCCCCCCGGGGCAGAGAGGGCGACTGGAGCCGCTCGGCTTTGTGACCGGTAGTGGCCATGGTGATGGTGTTTCCGACCTCCTTGCTCAGACCGGGGGGTCGCTCCTGAGTGAATAGGAGGGAGCTCGGGACGTAGACAAGGCATCGCCCCGGCCGGCAAATTGAGCTCGATGGGCTTGTCGTTAACAAAAACACAACCGAACAACAAAGCTTCGTGCGAATGTGCCTGCGAAGTCCCTTACATAACTCAGTGCAGCTTCTGTTTCAAGTTTTCTTGCCTCTTTGGTAATCGGACGATCTGAAGACAGGCGTAGAGTTTCAGGGGACGATCTGCACGCCGGGCCCACAATGGGCCATTCAGCTGGGCTCTTTCATTACCTTGAACAGTGTCGGCACCATTCTGGGCTCTGGCTTTCCTGCAAGGCTCCCTTTAAACCGAACCCAGCTTGCACTTAACTGATCCAGGAATTACTCAATACGACCAGCCAGCTACTGTAGCTTCCCCCACCTCTTCTGATAAGGAGAGTGAACACAATGGGCTTTGCAGTTCTTAAATGACTCCATTTCTCCCCGTCTTTCAGATGTGGCGCTTGTGTGACCTTTCGTTCTTCATAAAATTTCACGTGGTTCGATCGTATTTTTTAAAAGTATAATAAACACATGCCATGTTGACTCCCGACCCTTAGAGTAAAATCTTGTAGATGATATACAAATGGAACTCATGTCATAATATTTACACAGCTGATTTCAAAATAGTGGGTATTATTTTTAGCTATTAGATATTATTAAATCAGGCTCGAAAATATTTTCTTTCTTTCTGAGGGGTGATTTCAGTACTTCCCCTGGTGCAGAGCTCTGGTTATCTGCTGGCATGTATGCTGCGCCTGGGACCAGGGCACCAATACACCGATGGCGACCGGCCGGGGGCGGGGGCAGGGGTGGGGGCAGGACCCCGAGACTGTGACCCTGGACCTCGCCTCACAGCAATGCCTCTCAGACTTTCGTAGGAGCAAAAATCAGAACGTCTGATCAGATGCAGCTGCCTGGACCCCACCCCCAGAGGCTCTGCTCTGGGCCTGCGGGGGCCTGAGCATTTGCGCTTTTAACAAGCACCCCGTTGATTCTGGTGCCAAAGGTTATCAGACCACACTGGGAAACGGGCCTCTAGATTCAACGGTGAGTGTCGGGAGGGAGCGCACCGCCCGCCTGCAGGGCTCGACAATGCCGGGTCAGCAGAGACGCCTTGGACGGAGGGGCCCCTACCCTGGGTCCCTGGAGCAGCAGTAGCTGTCCTTCCTCCCGGTCTGCTTCCGTCCCAGGCAGGACGCTGTCCACCGGCTTCCATTCCCAGGGACGTGGTCGGTGCCGGGCGTTTGACAGTGTCACCAGCTCCCACCCCAGCTTCACACGGGATGGGAGTGTCAGCGCGGTTGTTATCTTCAGTAAGAACCCAAATTTGCTTCTCGAACTCCTCCCCTACCCCACCCCCACCCCTATTCAAGTAATTTTACACTGTTAGAAACAAAGTTATTTTTTCCAGAGGATTTCCGATGAGACAAGGACCCTCAGGGAGCCTTTTGGGAGTTACGTTACGGGTGCAACGTGTTTGCTTATGTCACGAAGATGAGATTTTTTTTCCCTGATGCCAAGTCGAGCTGATGGTCAGAACAGGCAGGAAAAGACCGCGAGGAAGGACAGCTGCTGCTCTAGTGGCACCTCCGATGTCACGGCACTCTGCCCAAGGGGCTGACTGTGTTGTGTGTAGACTCCGCCCCCACGTAGTGGGACAACTTTTTTTATTATGAGAATTCTCATTTCTTTAAATTTCTTTTCCAGTTACAGTCGATATGCAAAAGTACATTAGTTTCGGGTGTACAACCTAGCAGGTAGCCATTTATATACCTCACGAGCGATCCCGCCAGAAGTCCCTGCCCACCTGACACCACACGCAGTTCCTTTATGTCACTGGCTAGAGTTCCCTGTGCTGTACTTTACGTGCCCGTGACTGTTTCTATAACTGGCCATTAGCACCCCTTAATCCCCTCACCTTTCTCATCCAGCTGCCCGGCCATCTGGCAACTATGAAGTCATTCTCTATGAGTTTGTTTCTGTTCTGTTTGTTGATTTTGTTAGCTTCCACGTATAAGCAAGATCGTATGGTATTTGTCTTTATCCGTCTGAGTTATTTCACTCAGCATAATATCTTCCGGGTCCATCCACGTCGCGGCGAATGGTAAGATGTCATCCTTTTTTGTGGCCGAGTGGTGCGCCATCGCATCGATGTGCCACCTCTCTGTGTCTGACCGTCTGGT